GCTACGTAGCATTAACCCGTGCCAGCTGGAATCTAAGGCGGGGTGTTATTTTTCATATATATTATATTATACTATGTATCATTAGCATATGATTGCAATATCACGTAGCATAACGTAAATACGTTCGGTTTGAGGTATGGACATGTAAACTGTGGACAATTAAATAATTGTTTGTTGTATGCAATGTTCATGAACAATAAGCTATTTCTGATAGTCCGGCAATGTTATTAATAATGTCTAATTGTATTACAGTTGTTATGCTGTTTCAAATGAATTAACGAAATATGTGGTTTATATTAATGCAAGGACAGTCTTGTTGAACATATCCGAGTCTATTTATGTTATGACCCAATATTTTTAATATTATATATATATATATTCTCCATATTCTTTTTAAATATATATATATATAAAAAGAATATGGAGAATTGCGGGCTCTGTTTGTATATACGCATATGTATATATATAATATATATAATATATGGCTACTGGCAAGGGAGCCTTCGGGAGCTCTCGAGTTTAAACGAGGAGCCCGGGATTTTAATTTCCGATGTCTTCGTGAAACGGGCTATTACCTGAAGGTCCTGTTTCGCCGCTTCCGCGCCGGCCCTCGTGTGAAAAGTCACGAACCCCACCGGCTGAAATCAAACAAAACAGACGGATGACTCGAGGTTTCCGTGATTCTCATCTCTTAGATTTTATTTTATTTATTTATTTATTTGTAGGCGGTCACATTAGGAGCAAGATCATTACTGACCACCAACAGTTGCGTATTTAATTGCTTAATTGCTAAATAGTCGGAATATTATTATATATTTACTACAGAGTATCCTTCAAAATTTTAGAATCAATTTTTCCGCAGAGAATTCTTCAGAACCTTAGAAATAAATTTTTATAATTAAATATTTACCACAGTGTCTCTAAAAATTTTAGAATCAAATGTTTACTACAGTGTATCTTTCAAAATTCTACAATCAATTTTTACTGCAGAAGATTCATCAAAATTTGTAAAACTTTATTACAGACACTCCGTCAAAAATTTGTAAAGAAATGTTTATTGCAGAGTATTTTACAAAATTTTGGAAACGAATATTTCCCTTGCTTTACGCAAAAATTTCGCATAAAGATTAATGGCTAATCATTCCGGTAGCGAAAGTTGCATGTCAAAAATCGTCGAAGACCGGTATTCCTTTGATAATTTGATATACGGCGATCGCCGCTAGCCCCGTTCGATGCGGAGACATTTTTCACACGCTTGGTCAGCTGCACGCTTTCTGCGCGGCGCTATAAACACTTCCTTTCACGTGATAACTGAACAAACGACGCGACGCCTTGGCCACAATAAATGGACAAGTGTTACTTAAATCATCTTTACATAACTGGCGTATGATGCGAGCGAGCGGTGTGCGATACAAGGTACTATGAAAAGGACAACCGGCCGAAACCTCGGAACAGCAAATGAACCGAACAAAGGGTCGCAAAAATACCGTACCGGCATGAAAGGTTTCAACCCTTTGCATTCTAGAGGCGACTTTTCAGTCGCCACATGGGTTGATGTGGCTAAATTATAAAATTTAAGATTTTTTATTAAATTTCCTAGTCAATAAGAGTAAAAATCTTTCAATTTATGAAATATTTTTGTATCTCATAATAATAACAATAATAATAACAACCTTTAAATTTACGAAATATTAGGTTATCCCATAAGTAATCTCATCCTTTATTTGTCTTCGAAACATACGATTAATGACGTTTCGAAGATCATTTCTGGCATTCAACGTTTCCGCATTTCCAAAAGACGAGCTCAACAAAACACGCCTTTCCATATTTCACCGTTCATCTCGTCTATTTTTCTTTCCCTCTTCAAAGACATAAAAACTGATAATTGGCATTGTAACAAAAATCTCTAGGAATAGATGCACATAATCTTACATAACCTTGCGTGACCAGAAGACACAAAAATATTCATGCCAACGAAACCAAGATCAAAATTCCAAAATTTCGTGTTCCATCGAAATTCACTAGAAAAACAATTAAACGAAAAGTACAAACATCATTTAACCCAAAAAAAACATCCATCGAAATTCGGTTCGTTCGATGCATCGTCGATAATATTTAATAAAGGTCTTAGAAATATTGAAACAGTCGCCAAATTTCAAAACATTCATTATTTGTTTTATAATCGATAATATTGTTTTGTTTAATATTGTTTTTGAGCACTGTTCCCTGAATTGGTCAAAATCAAATTTATCCGTTTCAAAACGTTTATTTCTCTTAACATTATTCATGAAATAATCATCCGGTTGTAAAAATAAAATGAAGTTTATGTAAGAAAATACTTTGTTTCGTCGAAAAGTTCAACTGACAGGCGAAGTCTTAACCCGTTGCACTCGATTTATTTGCAATGTTGTTAGGTGTAAAGTTGTATTTATTTTTAGGGAAATGAATTAAAGTAATATACAGCGGTAGAATGCAACGTTTTACATTTATTTTATTTATTATTATAAGATTGAATTTTTATAATCTTTTAAAGTACCGCAAATAAAGTATAATAAATTTCTATTGTCATCTCCAACATGACATGCGAGTGCAAAAAGGTTAAAATTTCAAAAGAATGATCGAACTTGGAACTTACGTATTGACGGAAACGATCGGTGCGCGTTCCGTGTTCGTTACGTTCGTCAAACTGTAGCTATGTATGTGATAAACCGCGTGGCTGCTTTCGTGATTTTTCATTTCGTGACACACGTTACATTCCCGGAATTTCTTATCGTGGCGCAGAATTTCCGAAGGGTATAATGCACCGTTCTGCTGAGCCCATTTTTATCAATACGTCCATCGTGCTGCTCGTATATGTAGGTTAATAGTTTTGCGCTCGCCACATAAAGAAGTACAATCAATTTTCGTGTTTCGCGGCTTCGACGTTTTACTGCGCGCATCAAAAGTGCAACGTTGTGCACGTTAATATTTGATTAAGTGACAATATTAATAATACTTACGAAATTAATAGCCATAGGTAATATTTATTAACATATTGCGCGAGGGGATTAATATAAATAATAATATAAAATATATGAATAAATATATAATAATAATATCAAGTATATAAATGAATACATAATAACGTAAAAGTTAATTGACATATCCAATCTACCACAATTTGGAAAGATTTTTATACATTCTTATACTCGGTGCATTTGAAAAATGCAGTCGATGTAACTTGCAATGTAGTATCTGCAGAAACATATAAGGTAATAAAGTACAATTTATACGTGAAAGAATAAGACACCCTGTATACAGAAAAGGAAGGTGAATCCACAAATTAAATTTGTTTCGATTGAAATCTCCTTTTCGATGATATCGCGAGTGAAAATGTGCAGAAAATTTATACGAGTGGTATGAAATAAAAAGTGTAGGATAAAATTTGGTCATTTTATCTCTTGTTTCCGAAGAAATTAAATTTGACATGTTTGGTCGACAGCTACGCGCGGATGTGCTTGCAGGTAATTTTTTTTTAGAAAAAAATTCTATTTTTTCGTTTTCAACCAGCTTGTAGATAGAATAATTTCAATATACATTTTTCACTGATTTCACAATTTCACAAATAACACTTTCCTGATTGCATTTCAAATTTATCAATTAAAAATTCTAGTCGTTTAAGGTTCAACAGTGAAAAACGACCTTTAGTGAACGTGTAATCTGAACAAATGTTCTGGAAACGTAATTCCACACGATGAAATACATAAAAAAATTAAATTAATTTATTTCCCAGTTTTTGATATTTATTGGCGACTACCAAAATAAATTCTTTTGTTACGTTCATACAATATCTTTAATATTAAAAGATATAAAAAATTAGAATTAACATTAAAATTATAATCGAACTAAAAATTAAAATTAAAACCTTTAATTCATATCATATCTTCAACAAAAGAATTTATTTTAAAAGCTGCTAATAAATCTTTCAAGTGAAAAGTGAATCAGTTTGACGTTTTGATTTATTTTACCGCGTGGAATTATGTTTCCAGAATATTCGTTCAGATTCCACGTTTATTAAAAATCGTTTTCAGCGTTGAGCGTCAAACAATTCGAATATTGAAATTGATAAAATTGAAATTCATGTAATATCTTGTCTGTTAACCCTTCAAGGTGTTATTTACATTCGTTACGAAATTCACGTAACGGTTCACTGTCGACAATTAGAAAGGAACGGAGACAAATTTTGCATTCTCCACTGTCAGTGCAAATTTACTTTGAAGATAATAAAGTGATAACAATAAAAAAGTTTTTTGCTTTGAGCCGTACATTATGAACAACATTAAGTTTTTTAAAATTAATCTAGAAACCTTCATCGAGTGTCTCACTCGTCATTGTACAGGAAGGAGTTACAAAATCTTACACACTTTATGAGAATGTGATTAAAAACCCATTAACAATATTAAAAATAATTCAATGTTAAACATACTATTAATTCCGCCATAGTGGAAACATCAAGCTTTGATATTTAAATTCAAAAGCTGCAACTGAATGATTTAATTATTCAAATAACGAGACACTCATGATATGTAGTTTTCTTTTTTCTGCATTTCGATGCATAATTCAGCTGTTTTATAAAAAAGGTTTTCAAAAATTTCGAAGATTCTAAAAGGAAAATTTGAAAATTCGAAAAGGCTTAACGCTTTGCACTCGTACGTCATGTTGGAGATGACAATACAAATTTGTTATACTTTATTTATGGTACTTTAAAAAGTATCACACTTTAGATTATAAAAGCTCAATCTCATTACAATAATAATAAATAAAACAAATATATAACGTTGCATTTTACCGCTGTAAATTACTATAATTCATTTCTCTAAAAATAAATACAAGTTCACACCCAACAACATTGCGGACGAGAATTTTTCTGACCTTTAAAAACATTGTTCACAAAAATTTAATTACATACCGATATCTTATGTATCGAAAAAAAAGAAAACAAAATGGTATCAATCTCTCATTGCATATTTGAATAATTAAATTATTCATGAGCAGTTATCGATTTCAGATATGACAGTTCAAAATCGTCATTACGGCGACATTCGACCGCAAAGAGTTGATTTATGCGCGGCCTATAACAACCCGTCTTCTTCCAATGAGTCCAAGGGTAGCTAAAAGGTTGGACACCCAAGGTTAAACTGTTTTTGAACCATTGAACCATTGAACGTCCACGCGGATGAAGGGAAAGCGCAGGAAGAAAAAAAGAAAATTCGTATACGGTAAGCACAATTGTGGAAAAGTGCAAGTACAGGATTATGCATACGCGACACTCGAGGCGAAAGAATTGCGTACAGGGGAAACTCCGCATAATCGAAGGGTTGGGAAATTATAATGGCGCCGGCTGGGACAGCAGTTTCACCGGGGTTCCTACAAACACGTACGCCGCATTATGCCGAAAATGCGAAACGACTCGAAGGAGAGTCGCCTTATCACTTTGACTGCCATGTCGCTCGAATTCGGGTGACATTTTTTCTTTTACATAAACTGAAGGGTTAACACTAAACGTACAGGCACTTTGTATGCACGGATTTCTACCGTAAACGATGAAATAATTGGTTACAAAATGAAAGTAAGCAAGTTAGACAGTAGATTTTTCTTA